AAAGAGGGTGGAGGATAAATTCCAAATGTCATCATTTCAAAAATGTTATAGCAATATGTATTAATTTAAATGTTAAAGCATGTTTTCTTGTTTGCATTTTTGAATCAGCTTTCTATAGAATTACCTGGACATATGTTAGTTCTTCTCAAAATATGTCTAGCTACTTTCATTCTGAATTAACTTACTTACTTAATAACATGAAGTATTATTTTCTGATATGATATTTGTTATAAAAAAAATAAATGTATCAGATTATAACACAAAATATACACACACAAGATTATACCTACCTCTGGGAACCAGCAGTTAGCGTAATGGCTATGTCGCTGGACTCCCACGTAGTCGACCGCGGTTCGTGTCCCGGACCCGGTGGCTTAAAACTTACGCCGGGCGCGTGTGCGTGCGTGCCCAAGATCCCGAGAGGAGAATGGAGGAGAAGGGATTGCGGCGTGGCCATCCCCCCGGGGGGTGATTTCTCGCTTTCTGTCTCTCTGTCTCTCTCTGTCTGTCTGGCGAGCGCACGCGCCCTATAGCGAAAACCTCTCAAAAAAAAAAAAAAAAAGATTATACCTACCTCATTAAATAAATGTGGGAGAAGAGGTGAAACTTCCTTACAGAATGATTCCAGATTATGTAGGTAATATCCATTCCCAGTAGGAAAACTAAATCTTTTACACCTCATGTTTGAGCTGGACTTGGCCAGACTCTTCTAAATAATAGAGTACGGGCCAACAGGTGGTGTGGTGGCTAAGGGCACAGGACTCCCACATGGTTGACCGTGGTTTGAGTCCCGGAACTGGCGGCTTGCTTTCTTGCTTCCCCTCACCCCTCTCTGTTCCTCTCTGGTCAAATTAAAATAAATCAATAAAGATAAATAAAATAATTCTTTTTTAAAAAAAGAATAGAGTACAGAAGGGGGAGATGAATAGCTTTACAGTTGGGAAACTTGACAAAGAATATTTAATAGTATGTTAACTAAGCAATGTTACATGGGTATTACATACCCTCAATATTATGTGATTAAAAATCATATTCAAATCAAACTAAAAATGGAAATTAGTTTTCTGGAAAAGTTAAGAAAAAATACTTCAGTACTTTCCTTTTTCACATAGAAAAAGATGTATTTAGTTGCCACTTTCTTTACTGTTCTTTTTTTTTTTTTTTTTTTTTTGAGAGATTTTCACTGTAGGGCGCGTGCGCTCACCAGACAGAGAGAGACATAGAGACAGAAAGCGAGAAATCACCCCCCAGGGGGGATGGTCACGCCACAATCCCTTCTCCTCCATTCTCATCTCGGGATCTTGGGCACGCACGCACACGCGCCCGGCGTGAGTTTTAAGCCACCAGGTCCGGGACACGAACCACGGTCAACTACGTGGGAGTCCAGCAACATAGCCATTACGCTAACTGCTGGTTCCCTTTACTGTTCTTGAAAGCTGTGTGGTATTTTCTCCAAAATCCATTAACCAGTCTGAACATGAGCAAAACACCCGACTAACCTGAAATGAGGTACAGTCTGCTGAAACAGTATTTTCAGTACTGACTGGTACTTCTCAAAACTGTCAAAGTCAGGAAAAGGAAGGAAAGAGTAAGAAATTGTAACTGGCTGTTGGAGACTAAGGAAATATGACAGAGGCCCAGAAAAGGGCAGTAATGGAAAACTATTGAGATCTGAATAAAATCTGGGCTTTGGTTAAGGGTAATGCACCCAAGGTAATGCACCCTTAACCAAGTTTCTTAATTCTGACAAATGTACCATAGTAACATAGGATGATATTAGGGAATCTGAAACTGATTAGAGAGTATATAGGGATGTTGTATTAGCTCTGTTTTTCTGTAAGTGTAGAAGTATGTTGGCATAATTTTATTTTTAAAAACTGTAGAGATTTAAGTGAGAAAGAATTCTTTGAAACTGTCAACTCATTTTATATCTGATCTTTCTTTTAAAAATCACTTCAGATGCATTGGGACAGTACAACATCTTAAGAGCAAATTTGGAAAAGGCTACTTTCTGGAAATTAAATTAAAGGATTGGATAGAAAACCTAGAAGTAGACCGCCTTCAAAGAGAAATTCAGTATATTTTCCCAAATGCGAGCCGCCAGGAAAGGTAAAAACTTTTGAATATAGCTGTGTATTTTTTAGAGCAATAATATAATAGGTAGTTATATTAAAAATTAAGGAAAGATCTCTTCTCATTCATAGGCTGTGTGTATGTGTGTGTGTGTTATTAAAATGTTTATATTGTTGTATATTAAAATGTCTATATTATCACCAATGTTGAACTACTGAAGACTGATGGCTTGAGTTTTATATCTATCTTATTGTTAGATCTGTCAATATTCAATAGTATTTAAACTTTTTAAAGTTCTTATTCAGGGCTAACCCTTTTAGCCAGGTGCTTAAAGGAGCTAAATTCTATATGACCAACCATGAGGTTTGAATCCTGGCTTCTGTGTCTTGAAAACACATCAGGCATGTGTGAGTATATGCCCACAGTCCCAAAAGGATGAAGTGGAGAAGAAGGAATTTTGGTTTGACCATGCCCATCGGGGGGTACTTTCTCTCCCTACCCCTGTCTCTCTCTGGTGAGCGCATGTATATTCTGGGAAATTTTAAAAAAATTTTCTTGTTCAGTCATAATGATAGAGTTATTGTAGATTGAAATATTTTTATTATTGCAGACAGTTTTTGTTCAAATAAATATAAAAATAAATTACCTGTTTCTGTCTCTCTGGCAAATGCTCATAGCAAAAATCTCTTTTAAAAAATTGAGCTTTCAGGACCAGCAGTTGGCGTAATGGCTGTGTTGCTGGACTCCCACGTAGTCGACCGCGGTTCGAGTCCCAGACCTGGCAGATTAAACTCATGCCGGGCACGTGTGCGTGCGTGCCCAAGATCTCTAGAGGAAAATGGAGGAGAAGGGATTGCGGTGTGGCCATCCCCCCCGGGGGGTGATTTCTCGCTTTCTCTCTCTGTCTGTCTGGCGAGCGCACGGGCCCTGTAGCAAAAACCTCTCCAAAAAAAATTAAAAATTGAGCCTTAGCTTTAGAACAGGGTAGTAGTAATTTTTGAATTTTTTCTTTTCAGTTTTTCTTCTATTTTGGCTTACAAAATTCCTAAGGAAGATGTACAGTCCCTTTCACAATCTTTTTCTAAACTGGAAGAAGGTAAGTGCTTGAAATAATATTTGAAAAACATTGTAAGGTAGCTCTCAAATTATGGAAGAATTTTATTTTGAGTAGTTTGGAACTGGGGACTCATTTTACTGTATAAAGTTTGGCAAATAAGATAACTTTTTATTTAATCTAAGATATAGGTATATACTAATATTGTCAACATTTTGTAGATCAACTCTATTACAGTGTAAACCTTTTACATTCTTTAGTAGACACTGCTGCAGGTTATCACCTTGCATCTTTGAGAAAGGTCAGCTTAATTATCTCAGCAGTTAGTGCAGTAGCAGGAGCATTGACTTTCTTGAATCCTTGGTTCATACTGGGCCATAAACAGCAGTGGCAACAGACACTCGTGGCAGCAGGAGAGAGAATTCTTAGTGCAGGAGGAGGGCATCTCCAAAGTTTTAAAGAAACTTATTGAATCTTGATGTTTAAAAATAAGTTATTGGTGGCAGTGAGGAGAGGCAAGATCCTGAATGGGGCAAATATTCATATACAGGATATTTTTTGGCATTTATAAACTAAAGTAATATGTATTTATGTATAAGGTTTACCATTAATGTCTTTCAAAATAACTATATGTTTTTTATGATTGTTTTTATGTAAGTACTGAATATAAAACTGTTTCCTGATAACCCATATATTTCCATCACAAATACTATTTTATTAAACTAACAGGACTAATCACTAATCATTAACAGGACTAATGATTTTTGCGTGAATAATATATGCATTTGCATAGATAACATTTTTGCCTTCTGCTGTCTTCTTTATGATTAGAAAGAATACATCTTGAACTACTTAAGCAGAAATAAAGTAGTGGATAGAACACCAGAAGTATGGGGTTAGATTAGACTGCAAAATTATTTGATACATAGAAAAGTTTATACAGATGCGATCTTAATCTAGAACTCAAGGAGCAATAACAGTTGGAGAGTGGAAGGCAAAGAGCAGGGACCAAAAAAAAAAAAGAAAGAAAGAAAATAATAAAAAGGAAGAAAAAGAAGAGAAAGGAGGAGGCAGCCAGAAATCATGAAAGAAGACCGCATTAAACATACGATGCTGGGGGTCAGCAGGTGGCATAGTGGTTGGGGCGACCATGGTTCAAGTACAGGACTTGGCCACTTGCTTTCTCTCTCTCTCTCTCTCTCTATCTCTGGTAAGTAGCTATAGCAAGTTAAAACAATAATAATAGTAAATTAATAATTAAAAAAGAAGGGGCTAGCTGGTAGCGTGGTGAAGGCACTGGACTACCACCACATGGCCAACTGCTGTTTGAGTCCTGAACGTAGTGGGTTTCTCTCTCTCTTTCTCTGGTGAGTGTGTATGCCCTGTATCAATTAAAAAATAATAATATGATGATAAATAAAATTAATTCTTTAAAAAAAACAAACAAAAAAACATATAATGCTTAGGGCCGAGGAGGAGCTATGGCCTTGGGGAAGAGAAAGGAAGTAAGACAGAGAGAGGAAAATAACTTATTTGGACAGCTTCTGAATTAAATGAGTTGATTACAGAGGTTTAAAAAAATAATAACAGATTTGTTAGTCACCCAAGAGAATATTTTATTCTTCGAAAATTTAAAACATTATTTCTGTATTTCAATAGCTAAACATACTTTTGCCATTGAAGAATATAGCTTTTCTCAAGCAACGTTGGAACAGGTACTGTAATGTTAAATTTTAAAAAATGTTTTTATATAGAAGAAAGTAATATCAATTGTTTAGATTTATAGAGAAGGTAAGAGATTATGAACCCAAAACAAATTGTTACAGAATAATCTTGAACTCTGTATGATTTTAAGTGACTTTAGGTTCTCTGTTTGCTTATTTTTAAAAACTTTTTAAATTTATTTACTTATTAATATCAGTTTTATTTGAAAAGTCATATTTGTATACATTTATGGAGTACAATGTGACTTTATATATATATATATATATATATATACACACATACATATATATATATATATATATATATATATAATGTGGGATGATTTAAGTCAAGCTAATTACTGTTTTCTTCTTTGGAATAGCTCAATTTTTTCAGTGTGGTAAAGAAAATGAATCATGATAATTGTGTTTTATATTAGCATATCTGAAATAATATTGTTAAAATATTATGACAGTAATACTTGATGCATTAATTTAAAAACAAACTATAGTCCTATAAAATAACATTAATCTCTGTATGTATTAATGAAGATATCTTAGTCTGCTTGAATAATATCAATATCAACACAATTTTGATACTTGTTAATGTGATTAGATATAGCCTTATATTGTTTGTTTCTGATTCAGTTTAAAATTCTTGAGATAACTAAGGTACAAATTACTGTATTCATTTATCTCCTTTCATCTAGGTTTTTGTAGAGCTCACTAAAGAACAAGAGGAAGAAGATAACAGTTGTGGCACTTTAAACAGCACACTTTGGTGGGAAAGAACACATGAAGACAGAGTAGTATTTTGAATTTTTACCTCTCAATCTGTTTATGGAAGTTATTTCTTCTTCACTTTATTTTAACTTTGGTTTAAGAAGTTTACTATTTAAGTGGCAACTGGAGAACCTGAAAGCACTTGGGATTTTCCTCAACTCCACAATTCAAATGCTATGGTTTTGTGTTTTGCTTTTCTTTAAATAAAACTTGTGTATAATTAAGTTAACCTGCATGTTTGTATCTGAGCTATAATGAACTGTGGTCAGTATGTTATCTTTTTCATCTTTAAAAACAATGTTTCCAAATTCATGAGTTAAAGGATTTATAATAGAATAATTTGATTTTAAATAGTTATCTTTATTTTTTAAAAAATAGATACCACCGTATTTCATAAGTATGTAATGTCTTAATCTAAATTTTAAAAACTAATGCATAAATAATACTAGAAAAGAGACATAAATCAATGTGAAAGTTTCTTGCATCTCCTTTTCAATTTCTAAAAGAAACTTGGAATATGAAAGTCAGTATCCTTAAAAATGAAAGCTGGAACACTGAAAATCTCAATGTAAGTTTTGATGAAAGTGACACCCACTAGGTGGCAGTCATCAATCATAATAAATGAAATGAGACCTTGTCTATTAGGTGGTTTTTGATATAAGTAATTACAATCAAGAAGACAATGTCTAGGATCATATTATATAATAAACTGATTCTTTTTGGCTAGAATGAGAAATAATCTGTAGAAGTGAAAGCATTAAGCAATTCCTCTTCTCCCACCCCTCATAGAAGATAGAAATTTTTGTCATCTTCCTTACAAAGGGCACTTTTAGTTTTATTCTTGAAAAAGAAAAATTATTGGTAATTTTTTTATTGGTAAACTTTATTATTTGAATCCCACTGTCCTCTGTAGAATTTAAAGTAGGTCAGTGTATAGACTTATTTAGTAATTCACTGAATAGTCACTTTTGAACATGGCATATATAAATAAATTTTCAAGAGTTAAATTAAGGATTGGAAGAGGGGTGTACATAAATCTCTTTAATAAGAACCAGAAGTTCACTCTGTGACAGAGTTAAAGTAAGGAATGGCTAATATAATCTTAGAAATATTTCCTCATAGAACCCATAATCCTAGAAACATTTCCTTGTAGAGCCATGATACTATAGGTGTAATATAGTATAATAATACTTGTTAACATTATATTTTCACCAGATGAATGAAAATATTCACTTGACAAAATAAGTACATTGGGAAAGTTTTTGCATTATAAAGGCTTCAATCTCAAAAACAGCAGCAGCAATAGTTAAAGAGCCAAACCCTTTAATGAAGTTATTAATTCCTTAATGTTGATAAAACTTAATAAACTAGTAGCTTCATCGAGTAATAAAACACCTGTGATTTTACGCTCTTGCAGCTGATGTAAAATAGTGTTCCTTCCTTAGTACAAGCTACATGACCAATCTTTCCCCTCATTCCTTTGGCAGTTGCTGTATGCATTCCTAAAGATATGTACTTGATCAGCTATCTCAGAGGCCTTCTAACTCATCTAAGTGAGTCATTTGGCATGTCTGTGCTTTGATTTTACAAATCACAGCTAAGTTATTTCTCCTTGCAAGATTCAGTTGGCAGTCACTTGCCTCATAATACTAAATTGTAATTTTGGATTCTTTTCCTGAGAACCTCACTCAAATGTTTAGTTAATTTGGCTATGGCATGATGAATACAATCAAGACACATTTGAAAGAAAGTCTTTTTTTTTTTGTAGAGGTTCTTACCATAGGGCGTGTGCACTCGCCAGACAGACAGAGACAGAGAGACAGAAAGCGAGACATCTCTCCTTGGGGGGATGGCCACGCCGCAATCCCTTCTCCATTCTCCTCTCGGGATCTTGGGCACACACGCACACGCGCCTGGCGTGAGTTTTAAGCCACCCAGTCTGGGATGTGAACCGCAGTCGACTACGTGGGAGTCTAGCGACATAGCCATTACGCTAACTGCTGGTCCCAGAAAGTCTTTACCTTTGTAGATACATTAAAAAATAGCACATTGTGTTTTCTAAGCAAGTTACTACTAAATGGTACTGTAAATTTAAAGAGGTATCTTTTAGTATCTAATATTAATATAAATACCAAGGGACCTCTCTTTTGAGCTTTGTTTTTGTAACTGTGTAAACATTAACACTTAAATTTAATAGAAGAAATGAAATTGTATGGAATAGTTTGCTAGGGAGTCTCTGAAAATGATATTTTTTTCCTCCCTAGAACCTAACAATCCTAAGAAAGATGTGTTATCTGACGAGCATGACTAATAGGACATTGCCCACTTTGCATGGCTATTTGGTCACTTCCACTTTACATTTGTAGATGTGTGATCAAAACAAAGTGAAATATTTTCCTATGATGTGAAAGTTGAGATTATGCTGATTAGTCATGTCATATTCTTATCTATTGTGTTCATGCAATTATTTACTATTTTTTTATATGAGTACATGTTCTTGTGAGCATTTTAAAAAAGATACTTGACATTTTTTCAGTTTTTACATTCTCAGAGAATATATTTTGGTCACGAATTAAATTAGTTCTAAGAATGTTCTGTTCTTTTTTTCACCACAACAAAATCGTTCTGACTCAGGAGGAATATAATTTCACTAGTACTGAGAAAAGCAAGGGTACATAAGATGAGAAGAAAAGGAGACAAAGCCACATATGAAGCTTATGTTTGTTTAAACTGTCTTAACTGATTTCAAAATTTTTCTATCAGTATAGATAAATACATATATAAGGTAATAGCTGAAAAAGAAAAACAACATTACACACTTTATGTTTTCCATCCACAATCAAATTTTAAAGGTAGAATAAGGGTCAGCCTGATAAAGTGATTCTGGTTATTGACTGTTCAGGTAAACGTCATTTCCAGAAGTCGGGGCCAACGAGTTGGTAACAGGGATAAACAGTCGATGAGTCTACTTCACATTTCACTTTGGGAGCTAATTTTCTTTCCACTTTGTTTTTGTTAAGAATCTGTTTTTTGTTGTTTTGTTTCAGTGAGAGAGAGAAAAGACATTGGTATTTTTGACAGGGTCTTGCCATGTCAGAGTTCTCCCACCTCAGCCTCGTAGGGAGCTAAGATCACAGGCATGCACTGCCATGACTGGTGTATTTAAGTTGGTCTGGGATTTGAATCTGGGCCTTCCATGCCACTCCAGTGTCATGTAGCAGCACCCTGCTGCTCAAACCGCTATAGCTGGGCTTGGTGGGCTTTCTTTAAAAGCCTTTTTTTTCTTTCTTTTTTAAATTGGTACACATTATCTTAAGTCAATATTTTGGTTTTAATCATTAAAACCTTTTTAGAGTATAACTCAACACCTTTAGTGACTGTGTTTCCAGCAATGCTTTCTTTAGATAAAAGGAAGACTACCAAGTTTGGCCCCTGTAAGATCCCACAATCTAGTAAGAGGAAGACAAATACTTATGTAACAAGCTGTCATAGGACAAATGCTTTGCTAGCAGTACTACCAATGTTTCGTAAGAGCACAGTTAGTTCTACTTAGGGTAAGTGTTTTCATTATTTTTGTTGTTCTATTGTCTACTCAACATTTCATTTCATTTGTGCTCTGAATTTGTTAAAATACTGTATTTTCATGTAACATAAAATAGGCAATATTTTTGAAAAATAGAATTCCTTATCATTAATATATTTTTAATGTTGCTAACATTGATTTTTTTATTTCTTTTCCTGAAATATATTACATAAGATTAAAAAAAACTTATTCTCAGGTGAATAATTTTTATATTTGCTATTCTTGTAAGGTAAAAGTTTGCTTATTTTTTATTCATAATATGTTATATGTAAATAATTCACAGTGCTACCCTTTAAGAAAAGTAAATAATATAGTATTAATAATAAGCTTTTAAGAGCTGAAAGTTGAAGACACTTTATTTTGTATATTGAAATGAACTCTTTGTTATTTAGTATTAATTACATGATGAGTGGCTCATATTAAAAATGAATCAAAAACTGGGCAGTAATATTGTTAGTTTTTTTAAGTTTCTTAGGGGAGTTTTCATGTGCAGAATTAACATTAATAGTTACTTTGTGTTTTAATTCACATTCACATTTCAAACTTAAACTATTTTGTGCTAATATAAAGCAATTGCTTTTACTTACACCTTATTAAATTTAACAGATAAATTATTCCCATATATTTTACTCTACATATTTATCAACTTCTTTAGAATCTATGAGAACATTTAATTTATTCAAACACTTAGCAATATTTGAAATGTAATGAACAAATTATTTCTACAACTCTGGCAAATCAAATAAGTTGCCTTTTTAAATAAGCAAGTCAAATTCTCAAAAATTTAAAATATTTTGAGACCAGCAGTTAGCGTAATGGCTATGTTGCTGGACTCCCACGTAGTCGACCGCAGTTCGCATCCCAGACCCGGTGGCTTAAAACTCAACGCCAGGTGCGTGTGTGTGCGTGCCCAAGATCCTGCGAGGAGAATGCAGGAGAAGGGATTGCAGCATGGCCATCCCCCCTGGGGGGTGATTTCTCATTTTCTGTCTCTCTGTCTGTCTCTGTCTGTCTGGTGAGTGCATGTGCCCTGTAGCAAAAACCTCTAAATTTTTTTTTAATATTTTAACAATAGCATACACAAAATTATAAGGCTTGCTATCATACTTACAGGATTTTTGCATAATATATAGAGAGTTCAGAAAGTTTGTGGAAAAATGGGATTAAAGTACAAGGTTATTTTGGTGCAAAAAAAATTTGAAATAATTCATTTTCCATTAATTTCTAATGCATTTTTCACTAACTTTGTAGTATCCCTGCTACATTATCAAGACAATAGTTTGGAATAATTTTTGTCTTTTAACCATGTCTGTACATATATCTTCCTAAGGCTACACATTTGCCAGTAAAAGAGCTGTCTCAGTCCACCAAGTTTACCTCTTGGGTAACTTGAGACGAAGAGATAGGTGCTAACTAGGTTGCTCAGTTAATGACAGACTGAACAAGAAGTACCTGTCAACTAAATTAAATGCCAATATCAGTCAGCGTAGAACCTGGATCTACCTCTGAGACAAAGGTGGCAACTCTTAAGGTAGCCCTTTTTTATGTTTAAACTTTGATGTTTTAAATTTAATTTTTTTTTGTTGTGAGAGGAGAGTGTGTGTTTTAGAAAGGATCTCATTGTGTGAGGATCCTCCTGTCTCTACCTCCTGAGTGGCTGGAACTACAGGTGAGTGCCATGGCA